AAGGCCTCGGCCTGCTTGTCCCAGAGCTGCGTCCGGTAGTTGCCTAGGAGCCGAGGGGGGAGGGGCGGTCAGTTGGAGGGAGGGGCGACCCTTCCCCCCGCCAGCCCCTCCCCTTCCCCCCTCACCTATGACCATGGTCTCGTCCGGGATCTCCTCGATGAAGCAGCGCTTCTCTGTCTCCCCGATGTGGAAGTAGAGGCCCCGCGCGACGCCGCCGGCCCACAGCAGCGCGCCCAGCAGCGCCACGAACCGCCCGCCAGCCATGGCCCCACCGGCCCCCAGCGCGCATGCGCCACCCATCACGTGGGTCCGCCTGCCCGCCCGCAGCCCCAGCCTGTCGCCCGCGGGCGCCCCGGAGGCTCCCCCTCGGCTGGTGGGGGGGCTCCCTTGGCTGCTCCGGTGGGGGAAGCCGAGAGGGGACAACCCAGGCACCCAGTGGCTGCGGCCTTGAAGAAGGGGCTGGGCTACCCTCTGTCAGAAAGGGTGTAGTGTGGGGGTGGGACTAGATGACCTCTAAGGTCCCTCCCAACTCTGTTAATCTCACTTTAACCTGACTAGTCAGGAGGCAGCAGAAATGCAGAGTTGGAAGGGACCTTGGAGGTCTTCTAGTCCAACCCCCTGTTCAAGAAGGAGACATCCTATACCAGAGGTCTTCAAGCTTGGCAACTTTAAGGCTTGTGGACTTCAACTATGGAATACAATACGATACAATACAAATATGGAATAGAATAGAATAAATATTGGAATGAAGAGTAGAATAGAATAGAATTCTTTATTGGCCAAGTGCGACTGGACACACAAGGAATTTGTCTTTGTGCAGATGCTCTCAGGGTACATAAAAAGACAAGATACATTTGTCACGAATCCTAAGGTACAGCACTTAATGATAGTCATAGGGTACAAATAAGCAATCAGGAAACAATCGATATCAATATAAATCGTAAGAATACAAGCAACACAGTTACAGCCCTGTAGTCATAAGTGGGAGGAGATGGGTGATAGGAACGATGAGAAGACTAATAGTAATAGTAATGCAGCCTTAGTGAATGGCTTGACAATGGTGAGGGAATTAGTTGTTTAGCAGAGTGATAGCATTGGGGGGGGGGGGAACTGTCCTTGTGTCTAGTTGTCTTGGTGTGCAGTGCTCTATATGGAGCAGCCATAGCTCCTGAAGGCAGACTCTTCCACTTTGTTCAACTTCTCTTAAGTCCTATGTTGGAGCTTTTTAAAATAATATTACCACCCCCCACCACTTCTTCTCTGTGGCAGCCCCTCAAATATTAGAAAACTTCTGTCATGTCACTCCTAGTCCTTCAGCTCCTGTAACAATTCTTCATAGGCTTTAACCTCCAGTCCCATAACCATTCTCGTGCTCTTTTCTGCACTCTTTCTAGAGACTCAATATCTTTTTTGTGTCACAGTGACCAAAACTGGACATGGTATTCCACGTGTGGTCTCAGAATAAGGTGGTACTAATCCTTCATGTGATCTTGATACTATCCATCATTTGATGCAATTTAGGACTGCATTGGCCTTTTTTGGCAGATCCAGCACAATACGGGCTCCCTCTTAAGTGGTGGTTCTCTAGGCTTCACAATGACTGCTACTGAGCCTATTCTATTCTATATTGGTGCATTTGGTTTTCCTTGCCTTACTTTGATGAATCACCCATTATGAAGCAGTGCAACCCCATCCAAGGAAGAAATACACATTTAGAAGAACGTACGTGCATTGCAACGTGTCAGAGATGGAGGAAATGTAACAACACGTATACTCAGAATTAGATAGGAAGTTACAAAATTGGCAACAAGAAAATAAGCAGCAGAAACCACAAGTAGGGACAAAGGGACGTGTAGAGCTTAACCAAGGCTCAATTCCACAGACAAGCAGACACGTAGACTAAAAGTAAGGTACTCCAAAAAAGGTAATGGCTTTGTGAAATCAATTGTATAAAAGATCGTGCTATGCTGTTGTTCAGGGTCTCAGCTCCCAAATTGGGCTGGGACCCTTTTGTTGAAGCACTTCAATAAAAGTTTAGTCTCTCATGTCTGGCTCTGATTGGCTTCTGTGCCTTCTGTGCCAATTTTTGGACAACTTTTCTCATCACTGAATTTCATTTTGTTGGATGAGATTGAGTGTCATTCTGGCTCTTAAGTCCATCCAGGGGTGGCTTTCAAAAATTGTTCGAACCTACTCTGTGGGCGTGGCCTCCTTTGTGGGCATGGCTTGCTACCCATGTGACTGGATGGGAGTGGCTTGCCACCATGTGACCAGATGGGAGTGGCCTGCCATGGTTTATTTTAATTTATTTTGGATAGAATCTTTTTTAAAATAGTCTAAGACAATTTAAAAAAAGATTCTATCCAAAATAAATTAAAGTAAACCATTTAAAAATATTCCACACTTAATACTTTTAAGTAAAACTATTATAAAAATTAAATAAGATATTATTTTAAAATACATTAAAAAAATAAAAGAAAAAAAATTTGATTGTTTTCCAGGAGATCTTTCTAGGTATTGATCGATTAGTCTGTAGTTTCTGGAAACTGTTTCCCCACTTCCCCCCCTTTTAAGTTGGGAACCACATCAGGTTTTTTTCCCAGTCCCCTGGTACTTCCTCGGTGTTGCAGGATCTTTGAACAGTGAGTCACATCCTCCTCATCTTGCAGTTAGATTACTGAAATGTATTTCACATCCAGCTCCCCTTGAAAATAACTTGGAAGGCGCAATTGATTCCAGAGTCAAAGAAGTAGACTCAGCCTTGCCCTATTTGTCAGGAGGTCTCTGCACCCATAGCTGACCCATAGGCTCCTAGACTGAATTGAAGGTGCTTGGCACCACACCTTTGCACTCCCCTGAGCAGAATTTGCCCCCCCCCCGGGAGTTTCTCAAGATGGGTTGCACAAGCTACATAAGCTTTATGGAGCAAGAACTGGAGAACATCCTCCATTTTGGGGTAGAAGCTGCCTTTTTGCTAGCTTTCCACAAACCACCAAAATCCGTGTTATTCCATCCAGCTACTTATTGTACATAGTAGATTTGAGTCACATTGGTTATTTTCATACTGTTTATAAGCTATGAGAAGTGGGGTGGTTTAGAAATGTTTCTAATAAGTAATGAACAAATAAACCCTGGCACTGAAATGGATGATTTTAAAAAGAGGGAAATAGTGGTAGCTGTGGTGAAGGATCAGATGATGGAATGTATGCACAGATGAGGCCCTGGGGATCAGAGGAAGGGTCATATGTGACGATAGGACCCAGGTGTGGTTGGAGTGGACATGAGAGGGAAGAATATGAATTCTGATAAAACATTTTCTCTTGTCTTCATTTCTTTGCCTTGACAATTAAGAACTTTGCTCCTTTCCTGTCTCTCACTAAAGAGGGAGGGGGAGTGTCGCAGCGGAGCTGCCTCAGACAAAACTGTTTGTTCTTTTATTCTGCTCCGCAATAGGAAGGAGGGAGCTGCACATTAACAGTGAGACAGAAGTTAGCACCTTAAAACCAGGATAGCCAGGATATTAGGAACAAGAATAGCTCATTTATAAGAATCCCCTCCCCCAAAAAATCACATAGCTGGAACATTTGCAAGATACCCGTGACCTGGGATGAAAAACAGGTGATGTGACATTTAGCTATTTAACATAAGAAGCATAAAGCTGAAATCCAAATAACCAATCAAAATGATCTGTTATGCATACATTATAAGGAGAAGGGCAAAGGGTTGAATGCAACCATCCCTTGACTGTAAAAACTGCTGTAAGATCCTAATCTTAGCCATTGGTCAGCTTTTCAAACCAGGGTCCTTATATCTTGGTACCAAAATAAAAGTAGAATTCTGTATCACACCTTGTGTCCGGTGACTTATCGGCTTCGACACCAAGCAAGAGCCCAGGTTTGGGGACAACAGTGGTGATTCTCTGGTCGCAGGCAAATTTAACCAGGAAAGCTATGGCAGCCTCGTCCATCTATCTGGCGATTGGCTGGTCTGATTTGTAGGAAGAACCCCACATATTAAAAAGAGGCAGAATTGAATATTTCCCCAGAAGAAGAAGGAGGGACATCTTAAAGGCAGAAAGCAGCCCCAGCCTTCCTGATAGAAAAACAGCCTCAAGCAGAAACCTGAAAAGGGGAGGCTTTAGGAATGGATATTTGGTATCCATTCGGAAAGCTGGGCCACTCTGTTCATAAGCAAAGAGCAGCCAGAAACTCCTAATAAGTAACACAATAGGCAAGGAGCAGAAGCTAACAAATTAGCTCAGACAAAACACATAGGATTTGCATTTCCCCTTTGCCTGTAAAGCCAGCCCTGACCCCTACCATAGGAATCAGGCAATATCCATTAAATATCAAAGGACATATAGTATAAGGTTTCCTGCCTGAACAGAAGACCTCCAAGGTCCCCTTCCAACTCTGTCTATTCTATTCTATTCTATTCTATTCTATTCTATTCTATTCTATTCTATTCTATATTCTTGGAATGATGATAAACAGGAAAGTTCATCTGCCTGCCTTATAAGAATATTCTCAGGCTTGGCTACATTTAAAAAAATAATTTAATTTGAATAGATCCTTAATAAAACAACCATGAAGTACAAATGAAAAAAAGAACTAGAAAGAAAGATTTACCATATATACTAGGGGTCTCCAAACTTGGCAAGTTTAAGATTTGTGTACTTCAACTCCGAGAATTCTCCAGCCAACTCTGCTGGGAGTTGGAATCCACAAGTCTTAAAGTTGCCAAGTTTGAAGACTTCTGATATATACCCTGTGAAATTGAACAAGAAATTTCAAAACAACATTAAATCACTACACATAATTGATTCAATTACTGGAATTGAATCAATAGCTGATGTTTAGCCAAAAATAGCCAATGGAACAAGAACAATCTATTATAATTGAATATTTAAAATTTGTGCCAAATTTAAACGAGCCCTTCTTACCAAAGAGCTGCCAAGATCTGCATTTCAAAAGCCAAATCTTCCAGATTTGGTCACGCCTTTTCAAATACTTCCGGCTGTTCCATAACTCAGTGGGTGAAACCCTCAGAGGTTCCAGCTGAAGCAGAAAGAAGGGGAAGCCATGGGCAACTCACAGGGAGAGGAGCAGCTGGCTCAGCCAGGTATGGTGGGACCGTCAGATATTGTGATGCTTGGCTTGTAAAGGCCCTGCAGGTCAGACAAAAAAACAACAACATACTTTATGCTTTCTGATACACTTGTTTGCTTTTTTGGAAATGGAAAGTCTTTGGAATAACAGGAGGCAAAGAAAAGTTAATGACTTTTAAAGGAGACACTTGTTTATTTGAGAACTCTGTATTATTTGATAATAAGAATTTCTGGCTGCACTTCCCATCTTAATTTATTTTGAATACAGTTTTTAAAATAGCTGCATTCTTTATGGGTAGAACTTCAAGTTGAATCTATGTTTTCACTTCCCCTTTGTATATAGCAATAGGAACCCGGTTTATTAATTTGTGGAAGTTTAGTTTCAGCACCCAGAGTTGCAACATGAATTGCGACACACATGAAAGTTGTTGAAAATTTAGCGGGTTATGTCACAGAAGTGTCACGTCTGGAAATAACGTACATTCCGATGGTGTGGTTGTCATGGACTTTATAAAACAGCCAGCTGGGCTGATTCAGCAGAGATGACCCATTGGTTGCACACAATGGAGTCTGGCAGGTACTCAACAAATAAAATTATCTTTCTCCTGCTTTCTGTTCTGTGTGCAGCTGGAACTGAGGCCTGGGGTCAGGGAGCCATCTTCAAATCACGGTAAGTATCCTGGGTGAGTCTTTGGGCAGCTTGGCCAAGGGTCAAAAAAGGAGACCCCGGGAAGCTTTCCATCCCTTGGGGCACACCAATCTCACAGAGGCCTCTCCCCATTCTCCCCGTCTCCAGGAAGGGACCTGAATCCCCCCAAAGAAAAGAGGGGTGAGTCCCCCTGAGCACCCGTTGGCTCATTTCACTCAACATTGGATGCCCAATGTCTCTCTTGAGACAAAGGGCGACTCTGTTCTAAAGAAATGAATCTCTGAATGAGTGGAAGCAACTTTCTTCTGACTCAAAATCTTGCTTCCTTTGGAAGGAGAGATGCACTGATGTTCCTCCTCTACGCTCTCATGGAATTACTAGAATATTCTGCCCCACAATTTTGAGATTGTTTGTATTTCATACATTTATTATAGCCTCAATTGGTAGCACCGTTTTCTCCATGGTGAGTTTTTTTGTTGTAAAAGTATTTGTCAATGGAATGGAAGCTTTAGAGAAGGGACAGCTGAGCTAGAGTTTTTATGGTGTTTATTTAATGGTTAGAATAGCATTGATGTTAGGTTTTGTAAGCTACCCAAAACCACAAATGGAATTAATGGCATATAAAGGTAAAGTTCAGTAAGGCCCTTTTCCAGGGGTGAAATTCAGCAGGTTCTGGAGAACCGGTAGCAGAAATTTTGAGTAGTTTTGAGAACTGGCAAATGCCACCTCTGGCTGGCTCCAGAGTGGGGTGGGAATGGAGACTTTGCAGTATCTTTCTCCTGCCATGCCCACCAAGCCAAGCCCACAGAACAGGTAGTAAAAAAAATGAATTTTATGACTGCCCGTTTCCCATTATGAATATGAGGACTTTTCCTGCCCAAAGGAAATTTCAGAGAATAGGCAAAGGCAGTGGATGAGTGGATGAACACTCAGCTCACACTGTAAAAAGCAAGACAGCTCTTAAATCAACAAGAAGCATTTAAATGGGCCTACCTATCAAACAAAGGACCACTCTATAATGTTCTTTATTGATTTTTATTCCGCCTTTGTCATTTTTATAAATAACTCAAGATAGCAAACATACCTACGTAACACACCTTCCTATTTCCCTCACAACAATGTAGAGGTTAATGGCTGAAGAGAGAGAAAAGTATATATTTTTTTAAAAAAACTTGAATCTTGACATTTTAGACTCTGGGATGTAAACCAGAAATCCCTCTACCTTCAGAACAATGAACTAATAGCCGGATACTTGCAAGCTCCCAACTCTGCACTGGAAGGTGAGTCTTTCCTAAAACCACTTAGAGGCGGGCTAAGAAATCACCTTTGCAGCTTTAGATTTTTTTTTTAGCTCTCCCCCCTACAACAGGGGTGTCCAAACTTGGGAACTTTTAAGACTTGTGGATTTCAACTCCCAGAATTCCCCAGCTGGCTGAGGAATTCTGGGAGTTGAAGTCCACAAGTCTTAAAGTTCCCAAGTTTGGACACTCCTGTCCTACTGCAACCACCTTCAGGAGCTCAAGAGGCTGGTGGAGTTCCCTAGCAACTTACTGGTTTCTTATGATGAGGTGGGGTAGTTTGCATAATTCTGCACACATTTGTGGATTGCTCTTTTTTGTGTGTGTCACTCTTCTGTATGTCTGCTTGATTGAAACAGGCAAATATAAATAGATAATTTAGTGTGAGATGCTAGAATTTTTTCCCCAAGAGATGTAAAATAAAATCAAGGGAAGAACTGGAGGCAGAGGGCTATAGTTTTCAGTGGAGGGGAGGGGGAGCACTTTCATTTTGACTTCTGCCAGTGCTCATTTCTTTTTTTACCCCCATCATACAATGCTGCTCTCACCCCATTCCCCCAACTTTGCTATGGTTGTACTCTCTAATGTGAATTCTTTATTCCAGATCTTATTTATAGGAAAGTTCCTCCAGTTTTCCTCCCCATTTGTGGAAAAAAAAAATGTTGGTTTGACACAGAGAAGGGGAAGGAGAATGCCATCCACTGCGGGGAGGGGGGGGGATTGAATCTTGGGAAAATAGAAAGTGTGAGAAAGAAAGAAGTCTTCCTTTCTATTTTTATTAAAAAGTTTTTAATTGAACACACATTAAAACATTGGACTCAGTGTAACCGTTCTGGCAATGTCTTTGCTATCCATATTAGAATATAAAGTTAAATATTATAACCACCCTGCTTATTTACAATTGGTCTATTCAGTATTTGCAAATATAAGGATATCGTATTTCCATCCGTATTGCTTTGTTCTTGTCATACAGCTTCACTGTTATGGTTTCATACATAATTCTAACCTCCATTCTATAAATATTAGTTGTTGCTTATTTTGAGTCTTTCCTTCCTTGATTTACAAGAGATATGAGTGTTGAACTACAGTTCAGTGTCTCTCCCTCTTTCTTCTTCTTCCCCCTTCCAGAAAAGATTTTCTGGATCCGCAACCGGGCCTTTGGCCAAAAGAACTTCCCAGTCATCCTGAGCATTCAGGGCGGGAAGAGCTGCCTGGCCTCCTCTCCTGGCTCCCCACCTGAGCTGCAGTTGGAGGTGAGAAGCAAAGGGTCTCAGGAGGCCCCAGATCGCTTTGATCGGTGCTGCTACTTAGCACTTCCTACACAGAGTAATTGGGGAGCAGAGATACACACAGTGACTGGACAGCAGAGCTCCCTCTGTGTTTGTGCACACATGGGAGGAGGGGATTGCAACATCCTTTAGACGGGGATGTGTTTGTGTGGAAGCCTCTGCTAGCAAACCTTACACCCAGGTAAACAGGTTGTAGATCCGCACCTACATGACCCATGGCACGCGTAAGAGAGCAGAGGAGGCCAGATTATACCCTCAACCCATCCCATTTTTGGGTGGGTGGAGGGACCTTCTCCTTTTCTTCTCCTGATTTTCAGCTTTCCAAGTGAAACAGATGACACCAACCATTTTCCTCAAGATGGAGATGGAGGCACTTCCTCTTTTTGTATTTATTTTGTTCATTTCTCTCCTACATTTCTACAGACAGAACCCACAGGAGGAGATTCTAGCTCAGCTTCTCCTGAGGACTTTAGTAGTTTCTCAAGGACCGAGCTTCAAGAGAGCAAAGGGGAAATTGTGTAGAAGTGGCTGTGCTTTCTCTTTCTGCTCCACAAACATGATCCTGGTTACGCAACAGATTATTTTTTTCATAAAGAAGAGTCCATGTTATGCTCTCCTCAGGGAAACATGTACATTAGCTTAGGGCATGGGTGTCAAACTCAAGGCCCGTGGGCCAGATCCGGCCTGTGGGGTACTTAGATCTGGGCCATAGAACCGCCCTGGAAACAGTGAAGGACTAGTCTGCGGTGCTTCTGCCGGCTTCCAAGCTCCATTTTCACTGGAAGAGGGTTGCAGGAGGCAGTCACAGCTGAAAACGGAGCTTGGGAGCCTGTTTTCGCTGGCAGAGTGCTCGAGACATCACAGACCCCCCAAACATGACATCAAGCTGGCAACGCCCACCCACTGGAGGTCCAACACAACCCTGATGCAACCCTCAATCAAATCAAGTTTGACCCCCCTGGTTTAGGTTTCCTTCACCCTCAATAGCTTCCCTCGGTTTTGCTAAACCTCTTTCTTCTCCTCAGAGCATCAACATCACAGACCTGTGCAAAGATAAAGAGGCCTCCGCCCGCTTCACCTTCTTCATGTCTAACAAAGACGGGATATGGCGTTTCGAGTCAGCTATCCACCCGGGCTGGTTCCTCTGCACTTCTTCCAAAGCCAACGAACCCATTGGGCTGATCAATGATCCAGGCTCTTCTCATCTGGTGGACTTCTACTTTCAGCCTGAGTCTTAGCTGGCCTCTCCACCTCCCTCCAAAGCACAAAGCCCACCCCTCGTAGTCTCACAGCTGCTCCTTTCTCTAAGTCCAAGCATTTCTGCAGGGTGGGGTCGCTTTTCAGGAGAACAAAGCGGCAGGGAAGAGATGCCGTGTTTCTAGACTTAGCGGACACTCATAGCTCACTTTCTGGATTCAGAAATTCAGGTTTTGCAGCTAGCAGACACAAAATTATCTGCAGACCTCCAAAGCTACGAGTGCAAAATATGCCAGCCAATTTATGAGCTCTGGTTTCCCACAAAGGAATTAAATACCTTTAAAGTAACTGTATTGACTGCATTTCATTCTAATGATTTCAAAATATGCATTAAATAAAAAAACTCATTTTGTCTTAGCCACACATGTTGTTGTGGAGTGTGAATCCCCAGCATGTTATTCAGAGATCTGCTGCAGCCTGTAACATATCCTGATCAGTGACCGGTTCGGCTGAATAGGTAGTGGTTTGGCAGCCTGAGCTTCCATTCTCCACTATCCTGTCAGAGCTGAAGAAGCTTCTTGGATGAGAAGCAAAGTATCTTCTAAGAAACCCCAAACCAATAAAGTCCAGTTGCCTCCTGAAAAAGCACCTTTGGGATACGTATTTGCAATAAGCCTGTACATCCAGATTTTTCTGACCCATTTCCCAAATCATATAGATATCTTTTTCTTTGTAATCAGCTCCACACTAACATTTCTGGTATTTTTCACTGCATTCTTTCAGAGCTAATTATGTCCCCAAACGCCTTTTTGTGACATTTAAAAACAAATGCTGTTTCTTCAAAAGGAGGAACAGTCATACCTGTAGTCCTTCAGTTGCCTATATGTATTATTTGTTATTGTTTTTGTGGCTTTATGGTTTTCAGTGTTGTGATATTTGCCCAGAGTCAATCGGGCGGCTATAGAAATCAAATAAGTAAGTAAATAAATAAGCCGCCTTTTCTTCATCGCTCAAAAAAAGGAGACTGGATAAAAATTATCTGAATTACTGAGCCCATTAATAATTTCTGGAGAACAGGGTGCACACCACCTCCTTCCACCACATCGGGAAGAGCCCATTTTTTAGGCTGTAGCAGAAGGATTAGGGCCCTCCAAACTTCAAAATTCTTTCCATAGGGGAGCCCGAAGATGCTTTCTCAAGAGGAAACTGGACTTCCTTGTTTTTTCTTTGAAGACATTTCACTTCTCCTCCAAGCAGCTTCTTCCACTCTGTGTTTTCAAAGAAGAACCAAAAAGACCACTTGCCTCTGGACAAAGCGCCTTTGGGACAACCATGACCTGGAGGACTGAGAACCTCCCTAGACTTCCATAGGGGAGGCAGCTGCAGCAGAAGGTAGGGTCCCTCGTTCCCACTAGGTGGCACTGTTTCATGGAAGGAAGTTGAAGCCTGCCCATTTTGCTGGATGGAACAGGCTGGGCAGAGACTATTGCAGGCAGAGGGTCCCTGTCTGGAAGGGCTACGTAGGTCAGCGGTCCCCAACCTTTGAGTCCAGGCAGTCTGGAGGGGGGAGGGGGAGGGGAACTGGGCTGCACAAGTGGCAGGCTGGGTGTATGCATGCAGATGGGCATCCTGACTTCTGCCAGCGATGGCCTGGTTCCAAATAGGCCACGACCCATGGATTGATATAGACCCGTGATGGCAAACCTGTGGCATGCAGAGCCCTCTCTGTGGGCACGGGCGCCATCGCCAGCTGCTCTTCTGGTTCATGGCGTGCAGGTGGCCTTTTTCTGGGCTGTTTTCCAGGCATTTTCTGGCCGTTTTTGGGGTCAGAAGCAGCGCAAAAAAAGGCCTGAAATTTCCCTGAAAAAAGGCCTAGAAAATAGCTCGTTTATAGGCTGTTTCTAGGCCGTTGTCCGGCCATTTTTTTAGATCAAAGACAAGCTCAAAAAAGGACTGAAAATTCCCTGAAAAACAGCCCGGAAAATAGCCTGTTTTTTGGCTGTTTTTGAGCCGTTTTCTGGACTGTTTTTCCTGGAATTTTCAGGCTGTTTTTGGCCCAAAAACCAGCTGGAAAACATTCTGAAACAGCCCCAAAAGCAGCCAAAACCAGGCATGTGCACGCCAGCCAGCTGGTCTTCGGGTTTCCAGTGCTCCAGCACACACACATGCACACACATGAACAGGCGTTCTGGTTTGGGCCCCTTGAATTGTACTTGAAATTTTATAGTGGGGCCATGTTACAGCATCCATAATGACTTGTACTTCTGGAGGAGAGTGGAGAGGGGGGAAGAGGCAGACAAATTCTTACTAACAGAAAAAAAATGATAAGAGGTTTAGAAACTTTAGGGGAGAGTGACCATGTCATATTGGCATTCAAAAGTCCTCTGCTTGCAACAGTTCATTTAGTGACCGTTCAAAGTTACAACGGCACCGAAAAAAGTAACTTGTGGCCGTTGCAGTATCTTCCTGGTCCTGAGATGAAAATTCGGATGCTTGGCAAGGGGTTCATATTTATGACAGTCATAGTGTCCGATGGTCATGTGATCAGTTTTTGCGACCTTCTGAAAAGCAAAATTAATGGGGAATCCCGATTCACTTCACATCTGTGTTACTAACATAACAGATGCAATGATTCACTTAACAACCCTGGGAAGAAAAGTCATAAAATGGGGTAAACTTACTTACATGTTTCACTTAGCAACATAAATTTTGGGCTCAATTGTGGTCGTAATTCGAGGATTACCTGTGCAGCAGACACAAGCAATAGAACATAATCAAGCCAGTGTCTTAGATTTTGAAAGAGATGATGTCAATAAACTCAGCGAGAGCTTGGAAAAGATTCCATGGTGAAAATCTTAAAGGAGAAAACAACTGAAGAAGCTTGGGAAACTCTGAAAAATATGATCAAAAACACCCAGTCCAGCACAATACCACTGAAAAAAAAAAGAAATCCAAGAAGAAACCAGCATGGTTGCGCAAAGAACTCTCTGATAAGTGAAAGACCAAAAGGATAACAAAATGAAAAAAGGACACATAACTAAAGTAGAATACCAGCATATAGGATACCCCTATATAGGGTATCCTGCTTGAGCAAGGTTTGGACAAGAAAACCTCCAAGGTCCCTTCCAATTCTGTTATTCTGTTCACGCCAACATTTACTGAATCATTTTACACTTTGTTCAGTGCTTGCTCAATGCGCTTTGGAAAAGATTTGGAAGTGAGACTTTGAAATATGCAGCAGTGAGTACACCAGCTCACTTCAAAAACTGCTTTTCTTTTAGCTTCACACTTTAAGGAGGGGCTACAGTTCAATGTGTTTTGAAGCAGCTCTTCCAAATAATTTTCAAAGCCAGGACTGGGCTAGTTTTTCTCGTATGAGTGGAAGGAAATTGCTGCAAATTGAGGGGACCCGGTCTTTGTCCCACTTCCCCTCCCTTGCTGTCCGAGCCCAGTTCTGCTTGGGCTTCCTGCTGCTTTCATGGCCTTCATTTCAAAGAGGCTGAGGCAGGCAGTAGCCACCGCCTGCCCTGTGCGGTTTTTGTGCTGCTCACCCAAGAGCTGTCAGTTCCGGTTCAGACAGCAGCACTGCGGCTTGTGCAGGAGGCAAACTTCTTCATTTGCACCATATTTTGCAAGATGAGAGAGCCTCCTCGACGCCTTTGCTTTTGTTTGAATGCTCACGCATTTTGAAGGGAGGTCGGCGTCACAGAGGTGGTGGCCTTGAGTCAGGTTGCCTTGCAAAATCATGTAAAAAAAGAGAAACACCCAAAAACAGCCAACGGCCAAGCGGGATCTGTCCCCATTCCCACCAGGGGCTCTTGGGAAGCAGCGCCCGATTTCCTAGGGATCCTTGATCAGGCCTTGGCAGGAGGAGGATGAAAGGTGCCACAGGAGGTAAGTAAGGAGGAGACCAGAAAGAAGAATTGGGGGCCCTGGACACCCACCCAGATGCCTCCAGAGTCCTTTCCTGCAGACAACTGACCTCTGGAGCTTCAGCTATGCCTGAATGAAGGACAGGAGCCACCATGAACTCAGAGCCTGGGAGAGATGGAAAGGGTGGGCTGGCCCAGCGCAACAACCAAGTTGACTCCCAACTCTACCTGTAGACCTTCCAACTTGGGGGGCAGCCCCCTCCCAGGACAAAGAAGCATGCAAGCCAGGGAGCCCCAAATTCCCTCCCCTAATACTCCTCCAATGGTCCCCATTTAGCAGCCCACCTGCCCAATCTCCTGTCTCTTTCCCACATCCCCCACCCCACTTCTGGTTTTGGCAACCCCCTTTGGCTTCCCTGGGGCCACTGACTCTGGGGAGGGGGTCTGGTCAGTTCCCTGGAGCCCCTCCCAAGTCCTTCCCTTTGCAACTCCGATGGACCCCATTTAGTAGGAAAGCCCACCTGCCGCCTCCCCAATTTGCTCTGCCTTTGCCACTCCCCCACTTCTGGCGACCCCCCCCTTTGGATTCCCTGGGGCCCCTGACTGTGGGGGGGAGTGTATGGTCCGTTCCGAGAGCCCCCTCCCCAATTCTGCGCCTGTCCTAAGGCAAGGGGGGAGTCCCGGAGAGGAAAGGCCGGTCCGTCCCCGGTCCAAACTCCCAGGCCAGCAGGGGTCGGTGGGGCCGCCCCGCTCCCTGGGGAGCCTCCGCAGGGCCGAGGCGGGAGCCGCTTCTGCCGGCGGGGCTCGGGGCAGAGGCGCGGGGCCGCGGAGCCGCCTTCCCGGGCGAGGCGGGCCTTGTGCTCGGGCGGCGCGCAGGCCGGAAATGCTACCGGCCGGCCGTGGCGCCGTGGCGGGGCCCGCGGAGGTAAGTGGCCGCCGGCCCGAGGGTGGGCTCCTCTCCCTCCCTCCTCCCTCCTGGGGACCCTCCGCAGGGAAGGGCCGGCCTCGTGGACGCCGCTGCTCCGGCAAAGCCGTCCCTCCGGAGGGGCCTCGGAGCCCCGCGGTGCCATCCCGCCTCGGACACTGCCCGCCACGGGGCGCCCGTGGGCAGGGAGGCTCCGGGGCTCCGGGGCCCCTCGGGCGGAGCGCAGGAAGGGGCGCCGTCTCACTTGGTCGGGGGGCGCAGCCGGGGCAGGGGGCGGCTTTTCTTGGGGGAAAAGAAAGCCAAGGAGGCTCCTGGACCAGGGAGGAAAAGGAGAAAGGAAGGAGGAAAAGGAGAAAGGAAGAAGGAGAAAGAAATAAAGGAGGAGAAAGAGAAAGAAAAAAGTTCCAGAGTTTTGCAGCATCTGGATGCAAAGCGCGTCGCCTAAAAGCCCCCCCCCCCATGCCCAATTCCTTCCGTTGACGCGGACAGTGAAAGCCCCCCCGCCCAGATGAAGGGGCAAAGGGGACTTTTGGGAAGCCGGAGCGCTCCGAAGGTCAGCCTTCCATTGTCCAGGACTGGCCCTTCTTTGGCTCTCCACCCGCTTTCCCTCCCCGGGGACGCACCAGGCAGGACTTGAACCCGGCTCTCCGTCGGAGGGGCCTTTTCAAGGTGGACGATCCTCCCTGGGCAGCCCCCGAAGGGCACCCGCTTTCTGGAGCCATAAGAGGGGGGGGAGCAGTGTCTCCCCTTTGGGGATTCCTTCCCAGCAGCTCCTGTGGAAGCCGCGTTAGAGGAAGACGCTTAATTCTTGGACTGGTGCAGTTTTGCAGTTTCAAAGGATTAAAAGTGGAGTTTTGCTGGAATGTCAAAATAAATGAGCTATGAAGCCTTCCCGTTTAGAATGCAGTCTATCATTCCCCACTCTTCCTTTCATTTACTTTCTGCCCCAGGTAGCTTCAAACCGGCTGACTTTCTTTTGAACCTGTTTTACCCTATAATAATTTCATCCACGAAAGAAGCACTGAATTTGCAAATCAGTCTATTTAAAAAATTGTAATTACCCTCAGCATCCACTCCTTGCAAAGCAAAAATAGCTTAGATGAAAAGCTCTGAAGGCTGGAGTGGTAGAGACCCTTGGTCACAAGATTTTGCATAGTTTTTGGACCCTCCTCTATTACACTATAATACAGCCAGCTCTGCTGGCTGGGGAATTCTGGGAGTTGAAGTCCACAAGTCTTCATGTTGCCAAGTTTGGGGACTCCCGCACTATAAAAAGACTTGATTCTGAGGCAGCCTTCATTTCTGTGGGTCAGCAGGGAATCAGGACGTCCCCAGAGGCAAAATTGAGGATCCTTCCTATGTTTGCAGGTCTGGATGACCTCTGGGGGTCCCAACACAGGGAAGTTGCGTGGATGCCAAATTGGCAATGGGGAGGTCCCGCGTGCCATCCTTCCTGGGAGAAGAGGCCTAATGGCAAGACTGCCAAGCGGGCAGTTGAATAGTGATAATGATAATAAAATGATAATAATTCCTTAGCCCCACAGGCCTGGTGGGTCACACTGGTTGATGACCTAAGCATTGTGTGATGAGGAATGACCAGCCCCGGTGGATTCCAACCAAAGCAGAGTTTGTGTCTTTCTGTTTGCAGTGCCGTTGTTGTCTAGAACACGGGGCAGCTTTCCTTGGTGTCTTTTTCACTGCTGGGCAGGGTCTCTGCCTGAGAGCAGAGGAAAATCCCCCTCCCTGCTCCTCTCATCAACCCCAGCCCAAGCTTAGATGGGTTGCACTCTTTCGGTAACTGAAGTTGGCCTGTGGGGGAATCTTCCCTCTTTGTCTCTCAGCAGTTGAGCAAACCAGAGGAGGAAGGTGCTGCTGGAGACAGATGTCTACTATTTTCCCTGTACTATTTTTAAAAAAATTGTCCTACAATTAGGGGAAATCTTACAGGCTTCTTTGCCAAAACCACTGTATTCTGAGGGCCCATGTGGAGCCAGCGTTATACAGATGCTGTGAGCAAATACATAATTATAAATAAATAACGTGCTGGCTACATTTTAAGACATATTCTGTTTACTTCAGTTCATTTCTCATCTCAGTTGCTTTGCCTGTTGTGGTGCAAGGCCATTTGTTGTGAGACGGGCGGTTATATAAATTTGATAAATAAATGCGTGTAACAATTTTGCTTTTCCACTGTTTTTGCAGCAGCTGAAGAAGACAGCAGCTGAATTTGAATGCACAGAAGATTTGTTTGAGTGAGCAAACTGTTTTTTCTTGTTTGGCTTCTGTCAAGTTCAGCGATTTAGGCAACCCCCTTGGATTTCAACAATATGGGTATCCCATATTGTATCTGTTGGTGGTAAGTAGTGGAAATATCCACCCAGCCTCATTGAGTTCTCCACTCCTGTCACTTAAGGATGACTAAAGCCTTCACTGCTAAAAGATTGTTTGATAAGGGATGGGTGAGCATTGGGGTGGGTGGGGAGGTGGGACTAGGACCAGAGAGCCATGAAAGATAACAGTTCAATGAATATGCTTCATGGATTTTTAATAGCTACTTGGTTTCCCTTCTCTTTCCCATTCTTAGTTCATAGATTCATCTATATTAATCTGTATTATATTTATTGTGATAACATCCTAAATATTGATGTGGAAAATGCAGATGGACTAGCAACTCCTTTTTTTGTTACATATTTTAACTTCTTTTATGAAAAAAATGTCCTGATTCCCCCCTCCTTTACATCTTCTATTACGCATATGACATTTTGCATCATATTTCCATTTTACATTTCAGTCATCTTTTTATTCCATATTCGCCTGCTTAATTTAATTTTTTCTTAATATATAAACAATACCTTTTTGCCTCTCAAAGTTAATCAAATTAACATATCATTTCCATCTATTATTCTGTTTTACTATTAATAATGCATACCCTCAAGTTTAATTTTATATAGTAAACATTTCATTTAATTAGTTTAATTTTAATCTATATCCCACACATCTTATTGAATATATACCGTTGGCTATATTTACTAAGTTTCATTCTATTCTACTAGTAAATCATTTTATTTCTTCTTTCAACCATGTTCTCTTAGCCTCTCAGGAAGTTCATACTCTCATATTCTCTTCTCTCCACTCATTTCCCTGGACTAGCAACTCCTTTGATGGCATCTGCAGGAGTTTACACTGGCACGAGGGTCTGTTTTTCCAGCAGCTTATATTTGGCAACTTTTGGCTCTTTTTCTAATCAATCTGTTTCATTACTTCTATATTTGAAATATTTTGATCTTGCTTCTCATTCTAGAAAGTCAGAAGCAGACTGCAAAACTATCCCTTTGGAGCAAGTGTTAACCAGAATATATGTTTCTATTTTCTCTTCTGCAGGTCAAACAAGAGAACTGTGGAGATTGCTTTTAAAAGACCCATATTTCTTGGCCTATTGAAAATCAGGTTGGAACCCTAGTTGGCTCTGGGAAAGTGTTCATGGTCAATGCTAGAATGGAGGACCCCGAACGCTCCCCTATCTCAGACGTGATGGACAGGTCATCTGACGACAGAACAAAGGAAGTGAGCTCTGACTCTGGAGAGTGCTTGAAACAGACTTGGGATCTGCTTGCATTTTCTGGAACTTGCCAGGCTGGAAATGCTGCTACCCCTCCTCCTTTGGCTCTTGGAGAGGACAGGTTGGAGGGTGTTCACTGCAGGAATGAACCCCTTTCTGAAAAATCCATTCCAGTGTTAATGCAGAATAATTTTGAAGTATTGCACCCTGAACTGGGCCACCCTGTTTCACAAAGCTTGGACTTCTCTGAGAGATTTGGACAGCCTCTTGAGCCGATAGAAAACTTGAAAACTCAGGATAAGTGTAGTAATGATGCTACCCAGTCTGTTTTTTGGGCTGGTATTCTACAAGCTCAGATGTGTTTCTTAGACCTTCAAGAGGAGTTGGACAGGCAGAAAGAACCTCTGCAGACTTGCGGTGTGAATTCTGAATCCCTGGACACAGCGATCATCGACGAACCTTTACTCCTGGAAAGTGATACTGAGGAGGAGCCAGAAGAGAATTTAGAGAAAGACGAGGAAGAAAGTGAGGAGGAGGAAGAAGAGGAGGAGGTTGAATGTTTATTTTTCAATAACCCACTCTTTCAGGAAAGTCCTCACTTAACCAGAACTTTTGAAGGACAAGTCCCATGGTCACAACCAGAAAGGGAAACTTCCACAGAGAACTACGAGAAAAAAGTAAAAAGTGAAGTGGACGCTGGAAACCACAATGGTGCCTTGTTTTCCCAGGCCAATGCGGCAATGAGCCCTGTGGCCAGGAATTATTTTTCTGTCTGTGATCCAGATGCTAATGAGCACACATCCAGCTATTCTTTCCCAAGCTATGTGCCCCATTATCGCTCCTTTTCTCCGTTGTTGATTACAGAAAAAGATCTCGAAATCACCTGCTCTTTGGCAGAGGATTCAGAGGTAAGAGAGGTCTCCTATTGCTGCTTGAATTGAATTGAACTGAACTTTTTGTTGGCCAAGTGTAATTCAACACACAAGGAATTTGTCTCTGATACAGAAGCTCTCAGTGCTTCTATGGTAATAGACTCACGAGTATTCATCTCCTACCATATTTGCTTGTGGCTTTACATGAACTTATTTGGAGCGTTAATTCCTATTTAGGTCCAGTCTTCCCCAACAAAAGAATGCATTCCACCAGCTGCCCAGCGCCTCTTTCAGGGCCAGGATTAACAGCACTGGTGTCAGGGTTCCAAGTAATACACCCATAGCAAACAGAACTCTGAGGCAAGCAGGTTCCTCAAAGAACAGGTTTATTGAATGTATCGTATTGGCACAGGCTGGTGAAAACCGACTCTGAAGGTTCCTACCGTTTTCACCTAATTAAAAGTTTCTTCCCTTTTCCCAAACAACCAGTCACATGGTGCAATCAAGGTGCTGCCCAGTTGCTTGGAAACATCACTCCTCCTCTCTTCAGCAACCTGTGGGAATGACCTTGGTTCTCAGGGGAAACTATTTTGTTTTGGCTACAAAACCCCAGCTATCTCTATTCCTCCCTATCCCTCAGCACCATTGTGGCAACACTGATGTTGCAAGTTGGAAGAGACCCCCTTGCCCAAACTTAGGACCCTTTCTTGTTTCGGCTCACTATTAACGCAGCATGCAGGTGTAGGCCACTGTTAGGGCTACTCTTACATCAACCCCAGGTATTTGACCTCTTGCCTTGGAAATCCTTGAGACCCTGACACAGCAGAACAACAGTTTCTGAAAGCAAGCTTGAAGCAGTTGCTTGAATAGACCCTCTACCTGGCAAATGGCATAGAGAAGCTCTTCCACAAAACCATCTCCTTAACCTTCAACAAAGCATCATCAGAACCATCTGCAGGCCCATCTGCACCAGGTTGGGCTGATTCGGTTTCTGCTCCCCTATTGCTGATGTGCAGCCATTGTCCTTTGCACAGTTCTTGGGAAATGCTTGCAAACCCACTCCTGGTGGAAATGTACAGGAAGGCAGGGCACAGAGTGGGGTGTGTGTGTGTGTGTGTGTGTGTGTGTGTGCCAGCAGCTGTTCATGTTGTCAGCTTCCTCCGCCTTTTGTGACTACCAAAATTTATCTTCCAGGATGAGGATCTCCCCCGAGAAGATGCTCTGGGAAGCCTCACTGGATCCCCTCCGAGGAGATGTTTCCTGGATCCCCTCCCAGGGGAGGTTCTGGAAAGCCTTCCTCCGGGTAAGTCTGGCACCGCTCTTTCTCAATGTAAAAAGTGTTTTTATTTTTCCCTTTCAACTTCATTCTTAGAAATACATTCTTATAATTGCTATTTAACATTTGTACATCATATATTCATTTTTATATTCATTTTTACACACACATATGTATATATAATACAGTTTGGGTCACTTCCTTGCCACCCCATTCCTCCATCTTGCTTTGCAACACCTTTCTCTTTCCATCTTCTAACTTCCCTTCCCTACCTTCTTCCTTCCTCCTCTCCTTCCTTCTTTCTTCTTCCCCTCTCTTTCCCCTCTCCTCCTCCCTTCTCCTCTTTTATTAGAAATAAAATGTAAACAGAGAAAATTATTGGTATAAAAAGATAAAGTTGGGATCGCTGTAATGCCACCCTGAGAACCCGTCAGAAAAAGCAAATAAGCCAGGGCAACAACGGAAAGGAGGGGGGATGAGGAGGGAGAAGAAGAAAGGGTAAAGCGGAGGAAGGGAATTAGGAGGAGGAGAGAGGGTAAGAAAGTGGCACCACTCTTTCTAAGAGTATCAGACAACGCCCTGCCCTGTCACGGGGCTTTCTAGGCTGCACAGCGCAACAGAGGCTGCTGTCTTGCAAACCACCTGGTGACTGACATGTTTGTCTCCTCCACGTACAGAGCCATCTGCATATTTGCCGGCGGAAGGCCTGCTGTTTTCTGCCTCCAGCACTTCTCTGATGTCTGCTTTGCTGCAAGAGCCTACGAAGAGCTACCCCCCTGCCCAGCCCACACCTCCAGGGGGGAGTTGCTGCATCACCTCCAACTTCCAGGTCCCCTCAGCTCCTGCTGCAGAGCAGAATCTGCAGCAAGAGAGGTCTGAGCCACAAGCATCACCCCATGGCCACCCTTCCTCTTCCTGCATATGGTTAGAGGAGCCTGAAAGAACTTCCTCTCTACAGAAGGACGTCAGCGGAGCAGATGTGTGCTCCATCCCACTTTGTGGTGTAGAGAGGAAGCGAGGCGGCTCAGTAGAAAGGCTCAAGATGGTGGAATTGCCAGCTATGCAAAGCGATGGGAGGCCGAAAGGCGGAGAGGAAGAGCCCATGTTATAGTAAGGATGCCTTGTTTTTTGTCTCTTGGGGCAGTTGGCTCACCACACCCAACATCCTCCTGCCGAGGTGGGAAGGTGGGCTCGTTGCCAGGTGCCATCCAGCAGGTATCTGGAGGGCACAATCAAGATTGTGGCTTTTGCCCTGCAGGCACAAGAGAGTTTGCCTGCCTTCTTGCCTCATGGCGACTTTGTTCACGTGTCGGCATTTATTCCCCCGGGTGATGACAAAAGGCCCCTGTCTCCCTCTCTCCACCCTCTGCAGCTGCCCTGAAGAACCTGCGGGGGAGTTTGGCAGAACGGGGGGGAGTCTGCCTGCCAAGGTCCCGGCAGAACCGAATGGCACCCTGCTCCTGGCCAACGGCACCTCTGGAGACCTGGCCGGGGCACACAGGCTGGCAGCTCGCCTCTATCACCTGGACGGCTTCAGGAAATCTCAGGTGGCTGCTTTTCTGCGGAAGAAGTAAGACTGCCTTGAACGCCTTCCGTTTGGGGATTTGAATGTTTGTCACTTTTATTACTTGCACAATATGGAGACACCCACATCCCTGAGTTTTTCCCCCCAGAATTTTTTTTATTTTTTGTTCTCTTACATACCATTTTAAGTATACATTCCCATAATTGTTATTCTTCTTTACATTTGTCATTCTTATACATTATTATTTCATTTAATTGGTTATAGTATAAGTTTGGGTTGCTTTAATTGCAATCCCTTCCTCCTGTTGTAACACCACCTTATTTTCCCTTTCTTTTCTCCCTCCCTTCTCTACTTTCTTCCTTCCTCCTCTCCTTCCTCTTCATTCTTCCTATACCTCTCCCCCACTTCCCCCTTCCTGTTCCCCTTGCTACCCTCTCTCCTTATCTTTTTCTCCCTTCCACCCTCCTCTCCTTATCTCTTTCTTCCTTCCTCCTCTCCTTTCCCTTCCTTCTTCCCTTCCCTTTCTTCTACTCCTACTCTTCCACACCACACTGAGTTTTAAGTTGTTCCTTCATCACCCAAAGAAGAAGCGAATGCATTTCCAGGCCTTCTGCTGACTGAAAGCTAAGAATGGAGGGTGTTTGGAGCAGGTGGCAGAGTAAAATCTGCCGTCCTCTGAGGCAGCCCCAGCAGCAGAGCTTGGCTGTCCAGAAGTAAATGGCAAGGACAGAGCGCCCAGCTGAGGGAAATGTTAGGAGGAGGCAGCAAAAGTCAGGGCCAAAGGGGCTGAAAGGAGGTGGCAGTAGCCTTTTCTCTCTCTTTTGGCTTGGACTGCTGCATAGGCCTCGATGGATCTTCCTCGGTCATGGGACATGGAGTGGGGAAGAGGCCGCTTTAGGAGCCAGGCAGGGGTGGGGGACCCCTAAGAGGAGACCGAGAGGTTCTCGTGGTATGTTTGGGGTGTTTCTGAGCTCTTCCTCTCCATTTGTCCACAGCAACACCTTCAGCCAGATGGTTGCTGAGGCCTACCTCTCCTTCTTCCGCTTCTCTGAGCAAACGCTGGATCAGGCCCTGAGGTAACAGACACCTTGCCTTGGGCTGCCTTTCCATTCTCAAGAAGGGAAGCGAAACTTCGTAGTCCATGGCCGAATGCGTATTTCCTGCCCGCCCTGATGAGGAGGGAGGAGGGTGCCCTTCCCTTTCCCAAGCCCAGGAGGCCAACAGCTCACTTGGGAAATGGCTGGAGTAGCTGGGGAGTAACAGAGGGATGGCTGGAAAGAAAAGATCGAGCGGCCTCTTCCTTCAGCTCTCCTCCGGGTCAAGGCCTGCTTGGTTTGGAGACCTTCCTGGACCTGTGGGGAAGGACCCCAATGCAAGAAAAAATCCTTGAAACCGTTGAGCGGAGGCGGCTGGTTCTAAAGCCTCCTCAGTTCTTGGCAGATTAAAAGGAAGCTCCGTGGCGAAGATAGAAGCCCCTCCCAGCCTCAGCATTTCAGCTCCATCAGCCTCCTTGCATTGTCCCCAGGCCTGATGGGAGCCCTGAGGTGGGGGTGGGGGTGGGGGCAGCCATGACAGTTTTCCACAGCCAACTCATTTTGGGACAAGACCTTCACTAATATCAAAGAAAGGGTGGAATAGATTCATTAAAGAAAAGATGCAAGAGGAGGGACAGAATGAAATCAAAATAATGTTTGTTTATTTTAAATAATTAAATAGAATGGTTAACTTGTCCTGCAGTGAGTTGGCCCCATTCCCCCGTGAGGGTGGCTCTTCCCCAGGCCTCCTGCTGCTCCTGGCGCCTCTTCTGATCTTCTCCTCCTCTTGGCAGGTCCTTCCTGAAATCCTTCGTGCTGACCGGGGAGACGCAGGAGCGGGAGCGGATCCTGATGCATTTTTCTCAGCGCTACCACTGCTGCAATCCCGAGGCCTCTCTTAGTCCGGGTGAGACCCTCATCCCAGCCCTTGCAGGGCGTAATAAGCTCCAGCTCTCTTGTACGTTAGCCTCAGGGGTGGGTTGCTCTTCCCGTCGCTACCTGTACGCTGCTCATGGAGCCACGCGTCCTGTTCACGCACATGCACTGCACACGCATGTGCAATCCACTGCCTCTGTGACACCCAGCTGCTTGTTGGGGCTCGTGCACGCACCACATGCTGTGCATTTGGCTGGTTGCTTTAAAAACAGGTGTAGAACGCAGATGGGTGGATGGGCCAAATGAGCCACCATACCAGTACGCTGTCAGCTGCTCCCGGATACTACCGGTACGACCAGACCGGATGGAACCCTCCACTGGTTACCCTGTTTTTATTTTGGCTCTGAAAGCGGCACGGAGATGGGATGCTTCCTTTTCCAACTGAATTAGAGAAAAGCCAGGCTCAAAACCGGAACTGAAGAATTTCCCTCTTTCAGTATATTATTGTCATTTTCCTTTGGTAGCCAGTAGACCAGTTCTCCTTGTTTCCCTTCGAGCATACCGTATATAGAAAGAGGTTTCTCTTTCCCTATCTGTAGTTGGGTGGTTTCAGGCAACCAGCAAATACTCCTTTTCGGCAGCTGGTTTCCATCTCCTGGAATTTGGGCTAACCAGATTAGTGTCTTCTCTTGGAGCTTGTTCACTGTTGCGCTTTCAGTCAGTCAGTCAGTCAGTCAATCAATCAATCAATTAGAATAGAGCTGGGAGGGACCTTGGAGGCCCAACCCTATACAATTTGGGACAGTTGGTTGTCCAGTCTCTTTTTGAAAGCCTCCAGTGATGGAGCACCTACAGCTTCTGAAGGGAAGCTATCCCACTGGTTAATTGGTCTCCCTGTGAGGAAATTTCTCCTTAGTTCCAGGTTGCTTCTCTCCTTGGTTAGTTTCCATCTATTCCTTCTTGTCCTGCCTTCAGGGGCTTTGGAGAATAGGTTGACCTCCTCTTCTTTGTGGCAGCCCCTCAAGTACTGGTGTCATGTCACCTTTAGTCCTTCTTTAGATTAGGAACTGAAGTTCCTCTGGAACACTTTTACCCATTTGTTTCTCCTACCAAGGAGTCCTATTTTTTGCCGCTCTGAGTTTATTCAAACGAATTCTTTTTGTGGTCCATTTACACTCCATTTTATTTCCTTCCCTTAAAACCAGGAACATTAGCATCACTTTAAGACTTGTGGACTTCAACTCCCACAGTTCCTCAGCCAGCTTTTACTGGCTGAGGAACTCTGGGAGTTGAAGTTCACAAGTCTTAAAGTGCCCAAGGTTGGAGACCCCTGCTCTGGAAAAAGCTGTAATGCTGGGAAAGGAGGAAGGGAAGGAAAGAAGAGATTGACTAGCAGCATGCGGGGTGGACTTTATAGTTACAGTGGCTGTTGGAAGAACGGGATTCTTAAGAATACCACAAAATGTCTGTGTGTGGGAAGAAGGAAACCAGCACTTCCGGTTCATCTAATAGAGAACAGAACGTCTGAAGGTTGAGGGCCAAGTCTTAAGATTCAGTTCCTGTTCTCTGGCCTTTTGTTTTAATGGAGAGTCAAATCCCTGGGAGGATATTTTGCTGACATTTCCAATTAAGTTGTGGGAGAATCCGGTTGAATCTCTTGAACCCCCTTTTCTTCTGCAGATGCCGTGCATACGCTCACCTGTGCCATGATGCTCCTCAACACTGATTTGCATGGACAGGTAAGGAGACTCCCCAAGAGGAAGGAGTCTTGGCTCACCTTCCCTCACTTGGGCCTTTTACGGTCTCTGAACAGAGAAAAAATATTCAGATGGTCATATTTGTGGGAGAGGGGCTAGGGTACCCACAGACCAGGGGTGGATTGCTGCCGGCATTACGGTTTGCTTTGCACGTCACAGGTGGGTTCCTACTGGTTTGGATCGGTTCGGCCGAGCAGGTAGTAACTCGGCTGGCCATGCCCCCGAACCGGTTCTATCGGTGGCACTGTAGGCACTGGCATCTTGGTTTTTTGCTTCTGTGCATGCATTTTTTACCTACTGTGCATGCGCACATAGCGTGCATCAAACGCACATCTGCCCGAAGTGTGTGTGCACCCAAACGAACCAGCAGTAGAAGAAGCTGGAACCCACCCCTGGTGTGCGCCAGACGCACGCTGTGTGCGCGTGTGCAGTTACCTGTAAACATGTTCTGCGCAATTGTAAATTGTGCATGCGCAGAACATTAAAAAAGGACTAAAAAGCATGCCGGCAATGGCCACGGTGACCAGGGAACCGGTTTGGGGGCGTGGCAAGCCTGGGTTGCTGCCAGTTCTGCGACCCAGGTCAACATACCACTACTGGTTTGGCCAAACCAGTACAAACTGGTAGAAATCCACCTCTGCCGCAGGCCCAGGTTGACTTGACAGTTCTTGTTTAGATGTACATTATGGACGGTGCAACAACTTCANCAGCAGCTCCGGCAGGGCCGATGAAACATAGCAGGGAGACAGGTACGTAACAAAAAGGCCCACCTGAACTACAAGGCCCCATTTCACAAAAAGGGACTCACACCTGCCTATCTGAGGCACAGTGACCTCCTGAGGTCCGAGACTTTCCCTAATAACCACTGCCACCCCCCCCCCCTGCCCTGGGCTTAGAGGGAAGGGATCTTAGAGGTCTTCTAGTCCAACCCCCTATTTAGGCGGAAAACCCTCTACCATTTCAGACAAATGGTTGTCCAACCTCTTCTTAAAAACTTCCAGTGTTGGAGCTTTTACAACTTCTGGAGGCAAGTTGTTCCACTGATCAATTGTTCTGTCAGGAAGTATCAGTTAAAGCTTCTGTATATAGGTGGTCTTCAACTTACAAGTTCATTTAGCAACTGTTTAAAGTTACAACAGCACTGAAAAATGTGACATGACCATTTCTCCCAGTTATGACCTTTGCAGCAACCCCATGATCATGTGATCAAAATTCAAATGGACTTCTGGGAGTTGAAGTCCAGAGACCTTAAAGTTGCTAAGCTTGAGAAACATTGACTGCTACAGAGAAGGAAGAGGGCACAAGTAGCTAAATTGGAGAGCAGAGAGTGGTGTCAAGGGAGGTTGGTGCGTGTTCACAACTGTATGTCATCTCCCCCCCCCCCCCCAGGCAAACATCTCCCCTTGCAGCATGGACATATCTGTCCCTCCCAGGACTGACTGGATGGATGCTCAGTTTGCTTCTGTTTTTCGTTGCCATGCAGGATGAGCAGCACTTGGAGATGTCTGGCTCAGAGGAGCTCATTGGAGTATCTCATGCCCTGGCAGAAAAAGCCAGCAAATACACCAAACGGCCACATGTCTTCCGGCTTCAGACTGCAGACTGGCACATCTTCCTCTTCCAAGCCCCGTGAGTTCCCATGCGCCTCAAGGAAGCTCTCCTTTGCCATCATTCCCAGTGTCTTCTGCAGAAGAAGAGTGGAGATTACTTACAAATAAGAAATGAGAGCCCTTTTCTAGCTTTCTTATGGAACTCCTTAGTATGGGCCTGGGCATGTCTCTTGGGTTCTCCACCATGCCCAAATTTTAAAGTGTTATTTATTTGTTTGTTTGGTTTTTTGCCTGTTTATTAATTTATTATTATGAGCTGTGGTGGCGCATGGTTAGAATGCATTTTGCAGGCTGACTCTGCCCACTGCCAGGAGTTTTATCTGACCGACTCAAGGTTGACTCGGCCTTCCATCCTTCCGAGGTCGGTTTCAGAGAGATTTCCTTACCTAAACAGAGAAACAGAACAATCACAAATGGACAAAAAAAATAAGTGGGATTGGGAACAACTTCTGACTTCCTGTCAACTTCCCCACTGAATTTCCTTATTGGAATTTAGCAGTGATCCTTCCTCCCTTCCCTTTCCCTCCCCTCCCTCTTCTTTCTTCCCCCTTTTCTTCCTGCAGATAAGTGGCTGCTGCTAGGTCCAGAGGGGAGGGTCAGATTGCCCAGTGGCTGGGAATCGCCAACACACCCATTTTGACATACACACATAGTGCTATTGGTGTGCGATTTGTTGCTATTCAGTGCAGCAGGGGTTTTTGTTTCCATTTTGTGAGTAGAAACAAAAGATTTGGTCCAAGAGGAAAATTGATTTAACATTGGATGAAACAACGATACAGCTGACTTTGAAAGACTTAGCAAAATTGGACCTGATGAGTAGGGAGGGGGGGACGGACAGACGATGACTCCAAAGAATGATATGGAACTATTGGCCAGAACAGGACAAGGAAATAAACCATTTAGAAGAAGGAAATGACAAATTACTTCAAACCTGTTGCCAAGGAAACGGCACCCCAAAGCTTACCTGGAAGGAAAATTGAGCCGGATGGGATGATTCTTCCTAATGGATATTCAGCTGTGTTAATCAAATGGGAGAAGCAGGATGCCCCCATGTAAAAGATCTGATGTGTTATCTACTAAATAATTCTCAGTTCAGAGGGTTTGGGGTGTATAAAGAGGACCATAAAGACTGTCTTCTTCCTTTTCCCAACCGAAGCAAGGGTTGAGACCCTTCATGTCCTTGACAGCTAACACAGATTTGACTGCGTGGACCTCCTAAGAAAGAAGGCCACCTTTTAGTTTATTTTACCCAGGATCTCCAAATTTATTTGTAGATACTTGAATTACACCCTAAAAATCCTCTAGAAAAAAAATCCATTAACTTTTATCCAGACCAAACATTTCTGGTCTTACAGGAGATTGGCCACTGCAGAATTCTAGCAACCTAGTGGTTAAAGGCTCATATGCCCTTTGAATTATCTACATGATTCAGCATTTGTTTTGCATTTATACTCATTATTTATTAAAAACTGCTTTGGGACCCTCAGGAACAGAAGGGGTGCCGGTGGGCAGCCTGGCCAAAGCGATCAGGAGTGTGTATTGATCCCGATTATTGAGCTGCGATCCCATAAACCGATTTAATTAGTATAGGTAGAGATCCAGCAGATGCTTTCATGCCCAATATTGATTTGGGCTGCTTTTAAACATTTTGGAGAGATTGTGGATTACCCATTTATGGCAAGGTTTATTGTGTTAATCCCCCAAATTGGGGCTAATCCCAAAATTCAATTCTACTTTTCTAGAACTCCCGAAGAAATGACTTCATGGATTTCTCGCATCAACCTTGTGGCAGCCATGTTCTCTGCGCCACCTTTCCCTGCCGCAGTGGGCTCCCAAAAGAAATTCATAAGGCCCATTTTGCCAATTACTCCCTGCAAGAATTCCATAGTAAGTCGAGTGCTGGTGGATGGAAGGGTCCCAACCCAGGTCCTTCTGCAGAGTGTTTAGATAAAGTCTCTAAGAAATGCCAGGACCGAAGGGGGAAGCGTGGTTCCACCTTTGGGGGTCCCAGTTGCACAGCTCAGCGCAGCCAACAGTCTAGGTGGGGGGAGAGAACTGGGGCACCTGGCTTGAGGCAAGGCTGCAACCTTTCCCTGTCCCTGCAGGAAGACCAGCACCTGGCCCACGAATCCTGCATGGACAGGGTGGCCCATGAACTGATGGAGCTCCAGCGGAATCTGCCAGAGAAACGTGGGCGTGGGAGGGATCTGGAGGAGTACCAGCTCAGAAAGGAGTACTTGCTTTACGAGGTGAGCCAAGTTGGCCCTTCTGGGAGAAGGGTTTGTGTGTGTTGGGTTGTTCTGTTGGGGAGGGCCATCCTCATGTGACCCCTTTCCTATAGTGGGAGGTACAAAAAAAGAGTTTAAATGATGCACACACACACACACACACANCCAAAGCAAATGATTCCTCAAAGTTCCAATTGATGAAGAGAGCCATATTGACACATCTGGGAAAACCCGAATCTGAAAGCTTCCCAGTTTTCCCCACCCAGTTGAAAGTTCAAGATCTTGCCACCAACACCACAAGCCCATCCCATGGTCCAATCATCCACTGCCATGCTGGCAGCTTCACCCATCCGGTTCCGGTCAGGCAGAGGTGGAGAGACAAAGGATGATGACCTTGGTTTTCTAGAAAGAATTTTGTTATGGCTACATAGCATCTAACTCCGTACAATCCCCCTTCCCATGTTCCCACAATAGAAAATGCATAGCAGAATAATAGAAAGTGTGGCAGGCAAAAGACCCAAAAGAAAAGATGGCTGCAGGCCTGACAGGGGGCACATGAAGGACTCCCAGCTAGTCCTCCATGAAGAACTAGTGAGATCCAGGGCCTGGGCTTAGGGCGGGAGTGAGACTACCCCTAATATTCACACCCCTGGCGACATCTGCCCAGTCAGTCGGAGGACTGCAGATCGCAAAGGTGGCGGCTCCCAGCTGTTCTTCACAGCTGATAATAGCTGAGGAAGGATTGGCGGTACTTTTGAGGACAGAGCCCCCAAAGTGGCAGTTGTGGGGAGCAGGGAGCTTTTCCTGGAGGACGGGGGTTAGAGACAGGGAAGAAAGCTTACAGCTCAGCCTTTTTTCTATCTATCCAGGCATTGTACAACTCCATCCGCCATGAAAAACTGGAATGGGCAACGTAAGTACAAGCAATATGTGGGGGGTGGGGGGAATTTTGAGGAAGCCGAAGGGAGGGCTGAGGTCAAAGAGAGAAGGCATGGAAGCCCTTATAAAGGAGATGGGGAGGGGGTTGCCCTGTATAAGCTGGGTGGGTGGGCTACTGTGACTCGGTCTGTAATTCAGGAGTTTTACCTATTCAGCCTGTAGGGAGAGTTGTCAAGAAGAAGGGAAAGGGAACAGAGGAGAACCTGGTGGAGAAAACCTTGTTTGCCCCTACAGCAGTGGTTCCCAAACTTGGCAACTTTAAGACTTGTGGACTTCAACTCCCAGAATGCTCTGCTGGCTGGAGAATTCTGGGAGTTGAAGTCCACAAGTCTTAAAGTGCCTCAAAGGATAGGAGGAGGCCCAAATCATATTTCCCAACTTCAAATCAGCTGAAGGAAGAGGGCGCTTAAGATTTCAGGATTCCCGAGGAAAGGGTAAAGCAGAGGAAGTAAGAGAGGGGAAGTACGAGTAGGAGAGGAGGAGGAGAGAGGAGGAGTGGGGGAAAGAGAGGGGAAGAAGAAGAGGAGGAGGAGGAGAGGAGGAAAGGAGAAGGCAGAGAAGGGAGGCTGGGAAAACGGAAGGAGTAGGCTTGTGGCAAAATAAGATGGAGACACGGGGTGGCAGGAAAATGACACCAACTCTGTTTTTTATATTTGTAAGAAGATGGTGATAAATGTTAATAGATAAATGTTGATAGTACTTACAAGAATGTATACTTGTGAATGTATTTGAAAGGAAAAAATAAAAAATTTCAGGATTCCCCAGAATGTTTAATGCCCAAGTGACACGACAGAAAAACACAAATTGTTTTTCCCAAATTGTGAGTGGGTATCTTCCATACTTTCTTAAGTTTGCTTTTATTACTTATTTAATTTTTATCCCACTTTGCTGTTTTTAGAAATCACTCAAGGCGAACATATTCAACACTCCTTCCTTCCTTCCTCCTCCTCCTCCTCCTCCTCCTCCTCCTCCTCCTCCTCCTCCTCTTTTCCCCACAACAACCCACCTGGTGATGGGGACTGGCCCACAGACACCCAACTGGCTTTCGGCTCTAAGGCAGGACTTGAACTCGCAGCCACCTGCTTCCTAGCCTGGTGCCTTAACCACCAGACCAAACTGGTTCTAAATTTAAAAGGCATCTGCAGGTTAAGACTGGGTAGCATTTTCTTCCATTCCATCAGATTTCCCCCCACCCTCTTCTTTTGACTCTTAGTGTAATTAAGTCTTCCAAAATGAGCCTTTTTTTCCTCTTTTCCGTGTTTATTTTCTCTATGCAGCCTGTGCGAAATTTCTGTTTCTCCCCTCCAGGGATGAGGAAGACACAATGGACGCAAGGACACTCCTGAGTCCCACAAACAGCCAGAGGAAAACCAACCCTTTCCTGACGGCGTGGCAGGACCCTGGAGCAAAAGTCTACCAGCAGGGTCTCCTTGCCCGTAAGGTGCATGCGGAGGCCGATGGCAAGAAAAGTGAGTGGCCGGTTGTGACCCTGGACGAGCAGGTCTCCTTTCCCTGGCAGAGGCCAGAGAGGGGCCGGCAGGGTCTCTCATGGGAGCCGTCTGGGGGCTCTGGGCCTGGCTCTTGCTCTCTTGCCCACTCACCCTCTGCAGAAATCCCAGGCCATCCCCAAGCGGTCAAGATCCAATCGCCAAACCCTCTGGACTGCAACTGGAGGAAGTGGGGAGGCAAATCGGCTAGAAAACCAACTGAATGCCCTTCCCTCCCTCCCTCCCTGTAGCTCCCTGGGGCAAGCGAGGCTGGAAGACATTCTATGCTATGCTGAAGGGGACAGTGCTGTACTTCCTCAAGGTAAGAGGGACAAGGCAGGCAGGCAGGCGGAAGTCTGTGTGCTGGGAGTGGTTGACAGGCAGCCTGTGGGGGAAATCCCCTGAAGGGGTGGCTGCTAGAATTGGTCTCAGAACAGCACATCCTCCCTCGGTGGAGGCTTTCAAAACCCCTGCTCTCTGCCAACGGTTCTTTAACCGTGGATGTCAAAAAAGAACTGCAAACAGATGGCAGAAGACTTTGAAAACCCAGGGAAAGCAGAGTTTCTGGGATTGTAGAAGAATAAACGAGGCCAACTGGAGGGAGACAGAAAGAGTGGCCCCACTGCTTAGAGACAAGGTGAAATGCTGGATAAAATCAAAGTGACGGGATGATTGTCATCTTCAAGAGAACAAAGGAGAAAAAGAGGGATTTGGAGCTTAAAGTAGTTAAAGATATATAGAGGGGGATAGATAGTGGATAAGAATAGAGTAGAGTAGAATAGAATAAGGATTAGAATAGAAATGAATAGAATAGGAATAGGAATAGGAATAGAATAGCAGAGTTGGAAGGTTTGGTTGGTTTGGTTTGGTTTATTGGATTTATATGCTGCCCTTCTCCCAAGGACTCAGGGCAGCGTACAACATTTAAAAACACATATTACAAAAAAAATTTAAAAAATTAAATAGAATATCCCAAACAAACCCAATTAGGATTAACAATAACATTTTTAAAAAATCGATTAAAATTAACAATGATCAATAATGTATTGTGTTTTGTGCAGGCCAGGCTGGCTTGCTGGAAAAGCCAACTTTTTAGGGCGCGCCGGAAGGGGATTATACAAAGCTCTGGGGGCAGCTCAATCCAGAGGGAAGTTGCTCCCACAGAGAAGGCTCTCCCCCTGGGGGTCCCCAGTCGACACTGTCTGGCCGACGGCACCCTGAGGAGGCCAACTCTGTGG